TGAGAGAAAGCACGACATCTTTTATCCGTAATAGCTAGCATGGTCCGATCATAGAGCCATCTCCATAGAATTCCCTAACAGTCACCATAGTACTGATGTAGTGGACACGGCACCAATTGATCTCAGTCATATAAATGCATTAACCGTTACACTTAATAATCTTGATAAGCCTAATATAATATATGCATATTTAACTGATAGGGAGGAGCGATGTACGACAGATATATGGGTATGTGCTCCCACATGTTTCAATATCTGTTGTGTTTCAATTATGGTAGATGATGTCGCTAAATTCTATTTTGTTTCATCCATTGATTTATTGTGATAGAGAAAGGCGCGTGACTAATACAAGTATTTCATTATTTATTCCATAAACTAGTTTAGGAGAGATTCATATATGTTTAATAATAGAGTTTTTGTATTACAATAATTTCGTAAAAGACTGCAATGACAATAAAATATTAAAACCATTGAATGATCAATAAGTATCGGACAAGGAACTATTGAGTAAAGGATGGCGGTATTTGGATGATACACTTCATTTAGGAAATCACGTTGGTTCTCAGAATCTCCAAATCAGTCTGTACTTCGCTGCCTTGATTCCACCAGGAAATCAACTTGCATATAATCAAATAATCACAAATTGGGCTAACGGTCTGCTGTAGCGCAGTAATACGTCTAAAGATTGATTCCAATAGTATATCCTTATCCTTGCTCGCTGACTTGGTTGATACATGTCATCAATCCCAATTGCGTGGATCGATGCTCATGATGTCAATCACTGGACTGTAAGGTCAAGACTCGATTATTTACAGACCTCCGTCATATAGTGGAATATTGCTGAGTGTGGCGTTAAACAACAAATAATCAACAATTAATCAAACGGCGTATCACAAGATGACTAAACCCATGCCATACAGGGATACTTTTGCAAACTTTACAACTCTCTGATATCCAATACTGATAGTACATATAGGTTTCATTAATTCCCATCAACTAAAGCACGCACATTTCGCACTTGGACGTTTAAACAAAGGGCGAACGTATAAATATTGACAGTATTTGAACATACAGAGCTCTGGAATAAAATGGAATACCAGTTGCAATTCGCAGTTACTTCGTAGCAAAAACACCAGTGATCCATGTCCAGTACCATGATCATATTCCTGTGTACACTTCGTATTAATGTAAGCTTTTTTGGCTTCCCGGCCTTCATCCGGCAGAGTCCTTTGTTTTAGCACTACATTACCGGATATGCTTGTTCAACTTATGCTTTAAAGAGTAAAGCTATGGCGTCATTGCTAATATGACGTCATAGACCTTCTCCAATATGACGTCATGGATAGTTTGACGTCTACTTGCAAATACAGATCATGTAGGAAAACAGATTTATGTAGTTAAACTTTATGAACACAACAAGACTTTGTGTCTCCATGCCCCGATAACCTGGCGTTGATCATGCCGACACTCACGTGCACGCCACATTCACACTCACACCACACTGACTCTCCCTCCCAGTCCCACACTCACACCACACTGACTCTCCCTCCCAGTCCCATACTCACACCACACTGACTCTCCCTCCCAGTCACATACTTACACCACACTGACTCTCCCTCCCAGCCCCACACTCACGCTACACTGACTCCCCCTCCCAGTCCCAAACTCACACCACACTGACTCTCCCTCCCAGTCCCATACTCACACCACACTGACTCTCACTCCCAGTCCCACACTCACGCCACACTGACTCTCCATCCCAGTCCCACACTCACGCTACACTGACTCCCCCTCCCAGTCCCAAACTCACACCACACTGACTCTCCCTCCCAGTCCCACACTCACACCACACTGACTCTCCCTCCCAGTCCCATACTCACACCACACTGACTCTCCCTCCCAGTCCCATACTCACACCACACTGACTCTCCCTCCCAGTCCCATACTCACACCACACTGACTCTCCCTCCCAGTCCCATACTCACACCACACTGACTCTCCCTCCCAGTCCCATACTCACACCACACTGACTCTCCCTCCCAGTCCCACACTCACACCACAAGTCATGTTAATCAAGGGTGGCAGATGTTCTATTACAGCATCTGAATATAAGGAAGTTCTTTGAATCCATGTCTAAATGTGCAACAGGTCCTTCACTGTACGTAGAGAATATAACAACGCTGCTCGACCAAGAAGCCAGACAAAGATAGTGCAGATAGAACGTCGCAACGCGTCACCTGTAGACCTTCTTCTGTCAAAACCTCTAACTCTACATAGTATCGGATATGTCACTTACACGTTCTGAGAAAGGTAGGATTACTTCAAGAAAGGTCAGGCAATTGTGCAATTGTATCACGTGATACACCTAACACAGGTAATAGGAATTGAACGTCTGTGTTAGATTAGTCTTTAACACAATTCCTATGCCAATTTGACATTTCCAGAATAATAGGTCAACACAAGATGTCTGGTGTCTCCGAAAAGAAGGTCTATCTGAGAAAGTTCATTTTCTTTCATTTAAGTATCACGCAGTTTAGCAGACCAAATAAAATGAACTTTAGCCATAAGAATTAGACTGGCGTATCGACCATTTAATCATCCTTTCAACTATTTCTGCAAACATAGCACTGTGAGTTCAGATCATATAAAAAAAATAGAGGTGTGAATGATTTAACATATTATTTTATTGTTTTTTATTGTTGTTGATAGGTCCAAGCATATGCAGGTGACTATGCTTGTCGTAAGAGGCGACTAACGGGATTGGGTGGTCAGGCATCTGACTTGGTTGTTGGATGTCATCATATCCCAATCGCGTGGATCGATGCGCATGCTGTCAATCACTTGATTGTCTGGTCCAGACTAGATTATTTACAGACCGCCGCCATATAGCTAAAATATTGCTGAGCGCGCCGTTAAACGACAAACAAACAAACACAATTCTAACAAATGCATACCTTCATCTAGTTTTCTGTAATTTGGGGAAATGAGATATGTTTAAAAACATTAGTCGATTTCGGTAGGTTTATGAATGAGTAAGTAAATTTGTGATTTGGTTACCCTCCACTCATGAAAATATGGAAAGTCCTCGAGTGACACCCACAGCCAGAAGCAAAAGTATCATGAGATCTTAGTAAGTCACCCTTTCTGTAAAAGACACAAGTGTTATAAACACCAGTCTTGGCTTCTGTGTACCGCGATCAAGTGACGCTGCTAATGCATATCTATATCGCGCCAAATCCATAGCCTAGTATGTTAAAAGCGCTAAAATGGAACGACAAACCACAATCAAATGTCTACCAGTGCAATGAGCTTGCTTTACAATGATGTCACTCATCTTCAGACTGCATTAACTGTATTTAATGTGCAATATCATTGCCATGAACCCCTTCGAAAACAGGTATATTTTCCGTTTCGTGGGAAATATATATATAGATCCTTTTTATAGTAAACTCTGCAGTGATATAGACCCGGGTTCAAATTGTCATGGGTACAACGCATGGCATGAAATCCATTCTCTGTGTCCACATACGTGAAGTGGACGAGACAGTTATTTGTTTTTCGAGATGTGGAAATGACAAACCTTTGTTTTTTCATCAACGAACTTCTACTCTATTATGTTTCTGAAAAACAACCTCGACCGTTATGTAGTACTGTATAGGTATAACTATATTTTCAATCAGGATAACAGTGTCAATAATGAATCTACTTTGTACACAAAGAGTGTATGTAAGTACGTCTCTGCTAGATACGGATAATATACAGCCCTGTCTGCACATCGCAGCTAATTTCCTTCACGCCTGGAACTGATGTTTGCATTGACGGGCCTGTCGGACATATGGGGAAGGCTCATGCCACTGATCGGCACATGTGCCAGTAAAAAGTGCCAGTGAGCTGACCCACATCTCTGTGTTATTGTTTATATCCCCTTTTAGCAACAGCTGTGTTGTGGCGAGACTGTCCCTTATCTGATAGAACCCGGGGTCAGGAGACATAGACTTACACAGGCTTTTCCCAAAGCATTGATAACATTTTTGTGTCTTATTATAGTACTTATTCACATATCTTATACTTATTCACATGTTACATTATTTGTCTAGTGCATACTAGGTAGTATATAACACCCTGTTCATATAATATTCTTGTTTCGAAAGTAAATACCGTGAGAGGAGTTTGACCAAGAAAGTCTATACTGTGGGGGTTTATAGTTAAATTGAACTCTTTTAAAATATTGTCCAAACAGTTAAGAGCTCCTGAATAATGTTTCCTTTAATTTCCCCACCACCAACCAGGGTATGAAACTCCCAAAAATTTCAGCCAGACCACAGGACTGGCTAGCAGAAATACTTGCCAGCCCTTACCAAAACCTGCCTGCCCGCTATAATCATATGTTTCTCAGGATAGTTTAATTAAAAATATGAAAACTGATTGCTTGTAGCATCTTTACATGTGAATTAATGCTTATCATCGGGAATTATTTAGAATATTTTCACCTATAAAATATAACCCGACCGTCGGGCAGGGGGATTCGAAAATCTCACAGCCCGAGTTAAAATCAACCCGTCTCGGACGGTCGGGCAGGCAGGTATTTCGAACGCTGCACCAACCCCTCCAGCCACCTATATTTAGGTACATTTTAGTTCACTGTTCTGTTTCAGCATGCATGTTCCAGTGTTTTTCTATTGAATTCAATTATGCGTTTTTATTCTATTTCTCCAGTCTGGGTCATCTTAAATAAGAACCCCTCTCCGCCGACTGCTCAACGCCATTCTCCCGTCAACACGTCAAGGCCAAATGATGACAGCACTTTTGTAATCTGATACGACATCTCCAAATAAACTGCAGCGCGGCCCCGGAACAAATCCCTTCAGTGAAGGTTCACATGAACAAATCTCCCACCTCCTAACTGATAAAGACGAGGACGGCTGGATAATTAATCTGCAAGCTGTCTGTAACAGACGACACGTTCTTTACTTCCGGCTGGGAATGAATTTTATTATACAATATCATCTTCAATTAGTTCCAACTATTTTATCATCAAGCGTGTCAAATAGGTAAAGTAGCCATATAGATAGTAAAGATATATATCAGTATGTTCTTGTGTTATAATGCATTTGTTTCTCATCAAATAATCTTATAAAGCAACTGAGCATACATCGCGTGAAGCTACTATATATAATATGATTCATATGATCAGTAGTTTGACCTTTGTGTAGTTCTTTTGTATGCCCATCCTTTGCAAATGTTATGTAATGTTACCAATGATCAAAGTTTCATCGGAAACAAAATAAGAAACATGGCTGCAACATTACCATAAAATCTAAGTTAAATACAACACATTGGTAAAGAAAGGGTAAACTAGATTATCTTAGTAGTAAAGTCAAGAGAATTACAGTCACATCATATGCTTCTTCTGCATAACTCCCAACCTGTAAAATTGTTGGTAAATCATTTCGATCTACAACCTCTCTCGTTAACTTTTAACTCACTCACTCGGGAACTATATGTCTTCCCTTTAACATAGGGTTTTCTCTATCAAAACGTCACAATGGAAATAGCCTGAAAATTTCGTAGCACATCTGGGAGCCTCGCATGAATCGCATGGAAATAGTTTAAAATACGGGTTTGAAATATTATTATCTTTTTACTTAAACATTTAGGCATAAAATGAAGTAAAAGGAGTAGCTATATATCCTGTCTCGGGTACTATATAGCTTCCCTTTAACACAGGGGGTCGTCTATACAAAACGTCCCTATGGAAATAGCCTGAAAACTTAGTGGCACATCTGGGAGCCTCGCATGTTTCGCATGGAAATAGTTTAAAATACTTGTTTGAAATATTATTATCTCTTTCCATAACAATTTAGGCATAAAATACCTTTAAAACAGTCGCTCTATACCCCCTTTTGGAAACTATATTGCTTCCCTTTACCACTAGGGGTTGTCTATGGAAACGTCCTTATGGAAATAGCCTGAAAACTAAGTGGCACATCTGGGAGCCTCGCATGTTTCGCATGGAAATAGTTTAAAATACGTGTTTGAAATATCATTATCTCTTTCCTGAACCATTTAGGCATACAATAACTTTAAAACAGTCGCTCTATATCCTTTCTTGGAAACTATATCGCTTCCCTTTACTACAAGGGGTTGTCTATACAAACGTCCCTATGGAAAAAGCCTGAAAACTTAGTGGCACATCTGGGAGCCTCGCATTTTTCGCATGGAAATAGTTTAATATACGGGTTTAAAATATTATAATATCTTTACTTCACCATTTAGGCATAAAATGAAGTAGAAGGTGTAGCTCTATATCCTTTCTTGGAAACTATATAGCTTCCCTTTACTACAAGGGGTCGTCTATACAAACGTCCGAATGGATATAGCCTGAAAACTTAGTGGCACATCTGGGAGCCTCGCATTTTTCGCATGGAAATAGTTTAAAATACGGGTTTGAAATATTATTATCTCTTTCCTTAACCATTTAGGCATTAAATAACTTTAAAAACAGTCGCTCTATACCACCTGGTGAAAACTATATAGCTTCCCTTTACCACGGGGGGTTGTCTATACAAACGTCCGAATGGAAATAGCCTGAAAACTTAGTGGCACATCTGGGAGCCTCGCATGTTTCGCATGGAAATAGAGTTAAATACGGGTTTGAAATACTATTATCTCTTTCCTGAACCATTTAGGCATACAATAACTTTAAAACAGTCGGTCTATATCCCCTTTTGGAAACTTTATAGCTTCCCTTTAACACAGAGGGTCGTCTATACAAACGTCCCTATGGAAATAGCCTGAAAACTTAGTGGCACATCTGGGAGCCTCGCATGTTTCGCATGGAAATAGTTTGAAATACGTGTTTGAAATATTATTTTCTCTTTTCTGAACCACTGAGGCATAAAATAACTCTAAAACAGACCCCCTATACCCCTATTTGGAAACAATATTGCTTCTCTTTAACACAGGGCGTTGTCTATGCAAACGTCCCTATGGAAAAAGCCTGAAAACTTAGTGGCACATCTGGGAGCCTCGCATTTTTCGCATGGAAATAGTTTCATAAACGGGTTTAAAATATTATTATATCTTTACTTCACCATTTAGGCATAAAATGAAGTAAAAGGTGTAGCTCTATATCTTGTCTCGGAAACTATATCGCTTCTCTTTAACACAGGGGGTCGTCTATACAAACGTCCCTATGGATATAGCCTGAAAACTTAGTGGCACATCTGGGAGCCTCGCATTTTTCGCATGGAAATAGTTTAAAATACGGGTTTGAAATATTATTATCTCTTTCCTTAACAATTCAGGCATTAACTAACTTTAAAACAGTCGCTCTATATCCCCTTTTGGAAACTTTATACCTTACCTTTAACACAGGGGGTCGTCTATACAAAACGTCCCTATGGAAATAGCCTGAAAACTTAGTGGCACATCTGGGAGCCTCGCATGTTTCGCAATGAAATAGTTTAAAATACGGGTTTGAAATATTATTATCTCTTTCCTTAACCATTTAGGCATACAATAACTTTAAAACAGTCGCTCTATACCCCCTGGTGAAAACAATATAGCTTCCCTTTACCACGGGGGGTTGTCTATACAAACGTCCGAATGGAAATAGTCTGAAAACTTAGTGGCACATCTGGGAGCCTCGCATGTTTCGCAATGAAATAGAGTAAAATACGTGTTTGAAATATTATTATCTCTTTCCTGAACCATTTAGTCATACAATAACTTTAAAACAGTCGCTCTATATCCTTTCTTGGAAACTATATCGCTTCCCTTTACTACAAGGGGTTGTCTATACAAACGTCCGAATGGATATAGCCTGAAAACTTAGTGGCACATCTGGGAGCCTCGCATTTTTCGCATGGAAATAGTTTAAAATACGGGTTTGAAATATTATTATCTCTTTCCTTAACCATTTTGGCATTAAATAACTTTAAAACAGTCGCTCTATATCCTTTCTTGGAAACTATATAGCTTCCCTTTACTACAAGGGGTTGTCTATACAAACGTCCCTATGGATATAGCCTGAAAACTTAGTGGCACATCTGGGAGCCTCGCATTTTTCGCATGGAAATAGTTTAAAATACGGGTTTGAAATATTATTATCTCTTTCCTTAACAATTCAGGCATTAACTAACTTTAAAACAGTCGCTCTATATCCCCTTTTGGAAACTTTATACCTTACCTTTAACACAGGGGGTCGTCTATACAAAACGTCCCTATGGAAATAGCCTGAAAACTTAGTGGCACATCTGGGAGCCTCGCATGTTTCGCAATGAAATAGTTTAAAATACGGGTTTGAAATATTATTATCTCTTTCCTTAACCATTGAGCCATACAATAACTTTAAAACAGTCGCTCTATACCCCCTGGTGAAAACAATATAGCTTCCCTTTACCACGGGGGGTTGTCTATACAAACGTCCGAATGGAAATAGTCTGAAAACTTAGTGGCACATCTGGGAGCCTCGCATGTTTCGCAATGAAATAGAGTAAAATACGTGTTTGAAATACTATTATCTCTTTCCTGAACCATTTAGTCATACAATAACTTTAAAACAGTCGCTCTATATCCTTTCTTGGAAACTATATCGCTTCCCTTTACTACAAGGGGTTGTCTATACAAACGTCCGAATGGATATAGCCTGAAAACTTAGTGGCACATCTGGGAGCCTCGCATTTTTCGCATGGAAATAGTTTAAAATACGGGTTTGAAATATTATTATCTCTTTCCTTAACCATTTTGGCATTAAATAACTTTAAAACAGTCGCTCTATATCCTTTCTTGGAAACTATATAGCTTCCCTTTACTACAAGGGGTTGTCTATACAAACGTCCCTATGGATATAGCCTGAAAACTTAGTGGCACATCTGGGAGCCTCGCATTTTTCGCATGGAAATAGTTTAAAATACGGGTTTGAAATATTATTATCTCTTTCCTTAACCATTTAGGCATTAAATAACTTTAAAACAGTCGCTCTATACCACCTGGTGAAAACTATATAGCTTCCCTTTACCACTGGGGGTTGTCTATACAAACGTCCGAATGGAAATAGCCTGAAAACTTAGTGGCACATCTGGGAGCCTCGCATTTTTCGCATGGAAATAGTTTAAAATACGGGTTTGAAATATTATTATCTCTTTCCTTAACCATTTAGGCATTAAACAACTTTAAAACAGTCGCTCTCTACCACCTGTTGAAAACTATATGTCTTCCCTTTACCACGGGGGGTTGTCTATACAAACGTCCGAATGAAAATAGCCTGAAAACTTAGTGGCACATCTGGGAGCCTCGCATTTTTCGCATGGAAATAGTTTAAAATACGGGTTTGAAATATTATTATCTCTTTCCTTAACCATTTAGGCATTAAATAACTTTAAAACAGTCGCTCTATATCCTTTCTTGGAAACTATATAGCTTCCCTTTACTACAAGGGGTTGTCTATACAAACGTCCCTATGGATATAGCCTGAAAACTTAGTGGCACATCTGGGAGCCTCGCATTTTTCGCATGGAAATAGTTTAAAATACGGGTTTGAAATATTATTATCTCTTTCCTTAACCATTTAGGCATTAAATAACTTTAAAACAGTCGCTCTATACCACCTGGTGAAAACTTTATAGCTTCCCTTTACCACTGGGGGTTGTCTATACAAACGTCCGAATGGAAATAGCCTGAAAACTTAGTGGCACATCTGGGAGCCTCGCATTTTTCGCATGGAAATAGTTTAAAATACGGATTTGAAATATTATTATCTCTTTCCTTAACCATATAGGCATTAAATAACTTTAAAACAGTCGCTCTTTACCCACTTTTGGAAACTATATAGCTCCCCTTTACCACGGGGGGTTGTCTATACAAACGTCCGAATGGAAATAGCCTGAAAACTTAGTGGCACATCTGGGAGCCTCGCATTTTTCGCATGGAAATAGTTTAAAATACGGGTTTGAAATATTCTTATCTCTTTCCTTAACAATTTAGGCATTAAATAACTTGAAAACAGTCGCTCTATATCCCCTTTTGGAAACTTTATACCTTCCCTTTA